GGCCTAACTTGCGCCTTTTCGAGAGTGAATAGGCATTTTTGTATAGATGTGCATGCTCCTTTGTCGACCTCATCATCACTTTCCATCAGGTGAGATGGAGGTCAAATGCGCACTTATTTTAACCACAAAAAAGATAATGAAACGATGTTTAGTGAGTAACTATTTTAGTTTTTTAAATTTAAGATCTGGCAGTATGGCTTAGACGCCGTAGCCTGTGACAAAGAGCGAACAATTTTGCTAGTACAATATCCAAATATCTCTAGGTTTCAAAATGGCCACTGTAAAGCTATAAACATTTCCCTCTGTCGAAAAAATGTCGGAAAATTACACTATTGAAAACAAATTACAATCTAAGATCTGGCAGTATGGCCAATTAGACGCTTTAGCTTACTAGTACTACAAAATAATTTACTTTATCAAATGTCAAAGCTGTACGTAATTCTTTTGAATGATATGAGAATTATATTTATTTAAAAATTCTTTCAGTTAAAATGCCCATATTGTAGGTGAGGTTAAGGCATTTTACAGTAGGTACATATTTTTACAGTATATACCTAGTTTTTGTCTTCAAAATTTAGAAAAAGAATTGGACGTGAAGTGAAAAATAGTGCTTATAGAAATGTATACTTTATTACAACCGTCATTAGGTAATTTTCAGAGTGATATAACTATACGTAATAACGCAATACTTTTATGCACCTAAAGAAATTGCACAAATTTTAGGTGACGGTGAATAAGATCATTTTTGTATACCGACGTCTAATTATTATAAAGAACACCTTTGAAGGTAACGTACATAGATTAGCATATTAGTTTGCCACGCATAATTACCTGAAATGCGGGTATCTAACACATTACAGCTTTTTATAATTGTCACTAATACACTATGTAATGCTAAAAATTCAAATCATGCCATGGGAATTCACGTGCACGTGAATTCATAGCTGTTAAAGTACTTATCTTTGTTTAAATTCTCTCAACCTACATGTGAATAATTCTGTTATCTACTACAATGCATCACTGTAATTTCCCAACGATTTTCCTGAAGAAAAAATAGAATTTCGAACGTAGAATACTCCCATTGGCAGTCGAGCCGCGTGCGTTGATTGGTCGGGAGGCGTCTTCGTGCGATTTAGCAGCCAATCGGGATGTGGTACTCTATCCCACCTTCGTCTGTGGTAGGGGAATTCATCCCCTTGTTTATTTTTGTTGATCAACTTAGTGCGCTATAAGGGCCCGAGGTGTGTACATGTGTTTATCAATTTACGTTTTGTTGTTCGTTACAGTATTTCCTAACTTTGGATGTTCCGTGTGTACCAGTTAACAGTGAACTGTGGTGCGTTTAATATAATTCAAAAGACAACAAGTTGTGATTGTGCTGTGGCATTCATTATCGGAGATGGTTATTCTGTAAGTATCGTTATTGTAAATTATTTTTAATTGTTCACATTTCATTTCAATAAGATATTAATTGTAGATGTATTAAAATGTAGTCTTCTTTAAGTAAAAACAATTTTTGTTTTTCTGCATATATTTTGTAATACTATACTAACTATAACATTTTTTTCTTTTATTTTGAAAAACATAAACTGGAGCTAAAGGAACCAAATTAAATAGATTCGCATATACAAAGTGTCTAGGTATTAAACACGTCTATGTCAAATACTGGAAATCAGATTTTTTAATTATAATTTTTTAGACCATTGGACTTTTTGGTCAATTTCATAATTTAAAAAATAAATAATTTAATAAAATTATATAGATATTTTATTTGATTTTAAAGTAATAAAGTAAAGATAATAATCAAATATTTAAAAAAATACCTTGATCGCTAGACACTTTTGACGAGTGTATTTTGTATAGACTGATGCCTTACACAGCAGGGAACGGGTTTCTGATAACGAGAGACCAAATTAAATACGTAGTCTTCGTACGCTTTCATATTTTTATTAATTTTCGTAGCAGAATGTATTATCGTTCTTATATGAATATTTTAACATTTATGAAAGTACTAAGTGAAGATACTCTACCTACAATCAATGCATTTGTCTACGTAATAACAAACTTTTTGCAATAAAAAAATGGGACAACATCTGAAATAATTTACACGTCATAATTAACTAATTGTAAAGTGTCAAGGAAAAAGTACCTGCCCAAAAAAATACAGAATCACTACTAGGGGCTCTATAATTTAAAAATAGATCAAGTCGGTTTTTTAATTTGACCGGAAGCACCGAGAAACATCTCGATGCTTCTGGCGGTTAAAAAACCGACTTCAATCGAACTAAACACGTCATTTTCATTTAAGTAATACCGTGAAAGTAACTTTTATTCCGGCCGCACTTCTGACTATTGAATAATTTTTCGGTAGATTAATAGTGAATTCTATACCATACAATTTATTTGTTTCCGATATGATACGCAATTTACTCAATTTATTTTTCCATGCCGCCGCCACTGGTGAATAAGACCGGCGTAAAATCGGCGTGGCGTTTACTACATTATTTACTTTACAATTTGACGCCCTCGGAAGTCCCGGTTTTGATTCCTAGCAGGATCAATTTGGGGAACAAACTTTTCTCCATTAGTTCTGGTTTGAGTGTTCCGGGTAGTGCCCCGGAGAGATTCCTCTGGTACTCATAATACAGGGAATTCCCTATTATAAAGATCAATTAGTGTACGTAATTGTCTGGCACATTATTATTTAAAAAATGCAATATATTATTAATATTACAATATATTCAGTGAATACAAAGAAAATTGTATGCCACGCCTATTTCACACCGCTCACACCGCCGCCGCCGGTTGAAAAACAATCACATCTCTAATCCATATCAATATTTTCACAAAATCATACTAAGATTCATAAGGCTTTAAAATGCACGACTGAATACATAATGTACCTAGTTGATCGGTTTTAATACTATTAATTTACCCCAAGAAAACATTGTAGAGTGAGGACTATTTTGTAATATTTGAGTAGAGCTCTTCTTAATGTACAGTGTAAGTAAAAAGATAGTTTGTGTAGATGTAAACTAACTTCAACGTTTCAATCGTCTCTACTGTGCGAGAGACTAAAAATATCCAACACACGAATGAACTTCAAAAACATCGTGATAGGGAGCGTCAAAGTAAACAGTTAAGTAGTCAAAGTAGGGAGGGTTGTGGAAGGTGCCGGAGGGTCGACAATTGGCTTGATTGGACCTCATTGAGCCAGTCAGCCTTCACACAAATACGCACGGCCTCAGCGACAGTCACACATTTCCAGTTTAAGCTGATACATTGCTTCATTAACGGCCATACCAAAACGAGGTTTCACGAGACCTTTTAATACTGGTACCTAGTGTCGTTTGTTAGTTCGTAAGTAGACGTGAAACTTCTATTCGTGTAACTTTTATTTGAATATGCGGTATTAAAGGTTTCGTTATGGATTTCTTTCTTATTCTGTCGTACGTTACTAAAACGGGGCTATGTGACAAAATATTTTTTGAAAATAAAACCATAACCCAGTTTTGGAATATTGAAATTTTTAAAGATATTTTAGCTAAGCATCAGTAGGGTAAGTTCCATTATATCTGACACGGTAACTAACATTAACTGTTTTAAAGTAGAGAATTTTGAGCGTTATCTTATGCTGTTTAAAAGGGATAATTGACCACGAGATATATGAACATTAGTGGACGGCAGTATTCGGTACATTAAATTATTATTTATAGGATTTATTACTTACCTTATTAGTTACTGAATGTTAATGGTTGCAATCCACACCAATTTTATTTACATTGTCATCAGTTACATTATCATAATTTGAAATTTACCATGAAAATATCGTGATGAAACCTACACGTCGAAGAAGGTTCACAACCCTCGGAAAACGTGTGAAGTCTACGACGAGTATACGAGTAACGAGTATCGCCTAAATCCGCGCCTGAGACTAATGAATTCAACTAGTCGATAAAGTTATCGATTAGATCGAAGGTAGAAACGACTTTCCGCTCTTTTCTGGGTGTGTTCTGTAAAGACTTAACCAGTATCTTAATTTTACTTTTTAGCTAATTATTGTAATATGAAACCTTTAAGACCCTCTACTTCATTTTAAATTCACAGTATTATACCTCAACTCTGCCGTGCACTAACTACGAGGCTAAGTGACAAATTGTCAAATATCCGTTTTAAATAGCATAAGATAGAGCACAAAATTATGTTTTAAAAACAGTTGAAATTAGTTAACGTGTCCGACGTATCGGAACTTACCCTAACGATGCATAGCTGAAATATCATTAAACAATTTCAATATTCTAAAAGTCACTTTTGGTTTTTTATGATATCTCAAAAAATTATTTTGTCACTTAACCGCATTTTAGTTAGCGGTCGGCAGAACTCTACAATGTTAGGTACATTACTTAAACATAAACCTTAATAGAAAATATTTACAGCATATTTTTATATTATTATGCGTCGTTGTAGTGATTATGTATGTAAAAAATAGACTTATTATGTAACGATCCACTTAGAATAGAATCGGTTTCTTTATTTACCATAACAGCGTCTCGTCGGCACACAAAGCAGTTTACCCAATTAAGAGCCAGCACTCAGATAATTCCGACAATTGCCCGCGAGGGGGCTTTCTCCGCGATTATTTTATTTGAACAAGATTCCATACAATTGTTCAATTGTTCACTTGAAGGAATCCCCCTTTAATGTTTAAATTAAAGGAAAATAAGTACCTAAGTACTTTGTTTCAACATTTTATTGAACATTTTAAACGAAATACCAGTGCATGGGCATGAAAATTTGAACTGCTTTTTATCAAGGAATACTTATACTAATATCTAAAGATTTACGTACATATATAAATTGTAAGTATATTAAATGTGTTCGATGAAAATAATTGGGTTAGAGTTGGTTGGCGTGTAAACAAAACCAGCTTGGAGTGAATTAGATAAGATCTATGTTCTGCGTAGTATCAATGTAGGCAAAAAAAAACTTTTTCACTTTCAGTTCCGACCTCGTAAATATTTAAACATTGAATACAACTTGTAAAGAAAATATGTAATTTTGTGACCTGTCTCTTTTAACCCGCAGCACCAGTCGTGGTGACATGTCAGACGGCCCCGCAACACCGGAATGGGACATTAACGACGCAGTAGTACCACGGGTCACTCATTTTGATACTTTCGGCGAATGGTGCGACGGCCACGTCCGCAGAGTCTACCCCCCTGGTTGCGAAGAAGCCAGAAGACATGCCTCGGGATGGGCCATGAGAAACACAAACAACCACAATGTGCATATTTTAAAAAAAAGCTGCCTTGGTGTCCTCGTGTGTTCGGTGAGATGCCGACTCTCCGATGGATCGAGAGTGCACTTACGGCCCGCGATTTGCGATAAAGCGAGAAAAAAACAACAAGGTACAAAATCCAAAATAGAAATAAGTTGATAAATCTTTCATTTAACGAATCTGAAATCTTCGTTTTGTGTTTCTTTCTCGGCTCCATCAGGCTTTTTTTAATTGTACTGTTTTCCAACAGGTAAGCCTTGTCCAAATCGAATGTGCAGCGGAGGCCGTCTGGAAGTACTGCCGTGTCGCGGACATTGTGGATATCCCGTGACACATTTCTGGCGACACACAGAACACGCGATATTCTTCCAAGCTAAGGGTGCTCACGACCATCCACGACCAGAAGCTAAAGGAGCTAGCGAAGTGAGGCGATCCCTCGGCGCAGGCAGACGCGTTCGGGGCCTAGCACTCTTACTAGCCAGAGAAACTGCGATAGCTGAAAAGATACTCACTGTGAAGCCCGATAAACAAATGTCACAAAAACTGAGCAACCCGCAACCGCCGCCTCTTATTCCAGATAACCAAAGAGGTAAGTCAGAAAGTCGAAGTCATTGCTATTTGAATTGTTTTATTGGTCCCAAGCGGAGCGCCAAAAAACATAATAGCTAAAATCAATTATTTTTTCAGTAACACTCCAATGCACCTGCGGGCCATTCGAGTGTTCATGTCGCTGGCGGTGTGAGCCAACGGAGACGTATGGCGCTACGACGTGGACACCCGAACATCACAACTACGTCACCTACGCCCCACCCGTCCCGCCAGCCCCCACGCTCCCTCCACCGCAACAATACGATCCTACAACTTTGCCGGCCGACGACATATTCCACCCTGAAGAAATATTTCAATTAGACCAGCCAATACGCCTAGATTTCCCTATCGAAGAAAGCACACTTGAATCACCACCAACGTTTGCAGAATTGAATAGTGAAAATTCGAGAACCGAGGACTCATACTGGTTCGACTGGCAGCGAGCCGCCGGAGGGTCAGAGTCCAGTGAGACGCCTTCTCCGGAACTATTTGGTAATTGTTACCAACAGGCTGAAGCTTATTGTGAGCAGCAAAACTACCCTCCACAAGCGTACTACCCTGACGAAGGGCAATATTACCAAACTGAGAGCAGAACATCGCCCATAACGGACATGCAAGAACAGAGGTACTACAGATACGGTCAGGATTGTGCGCAAAACATGGAAATTCAATCGTGGAATTACAGCGAGTGTGCCTTCGCCAATAATGACTTATCCGAATGTAAACAATACTTTGACGTGCAGCACCAACAAGCAGTAAACGCATTCAGTGCCCTTTTATAATGCAATAGTAATTAGTTGTAAATATTTTGTAAATTGTAAATAAGCTCGACCCTAAGATAGTTTAAGTTGTTGATATGTTACTTTGGTACAGATTGTTCCTGAAAATTTATGTTCCACCAATTTAGCCTTATAATTGTATTAAATTAAATTTTATTTACTTACCCATGCATTTCAGGGGCATTCCTCGCTATTAATAAAAGTAATTTTCGTTCTAAGAGAATGCTATGGAAAATAAATAAAATGCACATGTTGTACAAAATCGTCTATTTATTGTATATAAAAATTACATTAAAATTGTCAATTTTACATTTTTTATTTCTCGATAAAATTGGTCACTACAAAATAGTCCATTAAGCAATCACACGGTAGATTTATTATGCAATGCAGTCGCAAAACATTCCTTAAAACTGTTTGTATGACACAATAACATGACACGATGATAATTTTAACCATGAATGACCCTGCAACCTAATCATAACCAATAATAATCACATTATTTGTGTCCAGCACAAACAAATGAGTTATAATCACAATGCCCAGACAGACTCCAACTTGTATCAGTACTCCCAAGACATTATTAACCTAACAGTCTGAATGGCTACAGTCGTTTTCGTTATTCAATGTAAGGTAATTCCCATCAACAATAAAGGGAGGAATCGAAACTTAACATTTACAAACCCGACCGCTTCCAACACGATTTACAGTAATACAATAATGATTAAACACTTATTTATGTACATTACACGTACAATAACAATATAATTTGTTTCAGTATCGCGGTTTTGAACTTTAAAAACTTACAACGTCACGTTAATTAACATTTGGGCTTTCAAAATTTGTATGTAAATTACGTACCTAACTCCCAACACTGTTAACTGTACCATTACTCAAATCAGGGTCGAAAAGCGAACAGTTTTACCAATACATAGCAGACTTAAATTTAGCATTATCCAGCAGATTAAAATGTACGTTCTTAGCAAATAGGCCTTAATTATAAATTACAAGGTAAATGATCGTTTGTATTTGTAAAGCTGTTCGTGAAGGGATCGAGGAGAGCACAGCACGCGCTATCACAGCATTCGGCGAATGCCGAAGTCGGCGTCTGCGCTCGTGTTTCCTTGACCGACAGTCGGCAGTACGCGCGGAAACGTGAGCGGAGACGCCTGTAGCCCCACAATGGGCGCCACTTATTATAAGGCCACAAACAAATTTGACACGAAGCGATGTCTTCTTATTTAACAACATAACAATTTTCGCGCTTCGATTATTCAATACCTTCAGTATTAAAACTGCAAACGAATTTTTGGACGCAAAAAGTGCCTGTGCCTCACTTACTATAAATTCTTTCGACAATGTGACACAGTGTGAATACTGTATCAGTTTCTCTTGACAATAATTTCTTTACTTAAAAGCATGCCTATCTATGCATTACAAATGAAGATCTTGAGATAAACTTTTCTCTACCGCTTTAAGCTATACTAGAGTATGAAATCTATAAGATTCGAAGATTCCGGAGCGAGATCAAGTGTGTAAGCGCTATCATTTGCAGAAGCCTATCGACACTTGTACGAGAAACCCTAAATTAGGGGGTACTGCCCCACTAAATATGACTATGACTTAAGTGTGAAGACAGTAAACTTACAGATAGACGAATCTTAAGGGTGAATGTGACTTTTATCAATTAGTATTGTAATTAGACGCATACTAAACTGAACTTTAAACTTTGTCAAATATATTAATTATATCAACACACAAGTAAAAGAATCAGATAAACGTGAATACATAATTTTTGTGCAGCATGCAACACAATATGTGACCAACAATAATCATGCCACCTGTACTCAATGTTCGCTTCGAAATAAAACATGTCTTAATGGTTTCACGAAAATACAACGAAACTGTATAACACATTAGGCATAATGTAGAAATATAAAAATAAATATGTGTGAATATCGTCGCAAAATAAAACATGTAAAGCTATAAAACGACTAAACATTAGATTTGTACTACCGAGAAGAAATCACTGAAATAATTCTAGAGAAAGCCTTTCACTTCTTTCAAACTTCATAGTCTTGGCCAACCTTAACCTCACAATATGCATAATTTTAATAGAAAAATATGTAATAATGTAATAAATTTCACGTGATTTACAATTTTAAATGAATATATAACTTTTAATTTTCTTTGAATTATCAATTTGCATTGAATAATTCCAATTCAAAGCCGCATTTAGAATTCGAAAATGATATTTCATTTAAAATGCCTCGCGCAGTGAACTGTGGAAGACATCGACTAGGTGGACAAAATTACAATTTTCTTTAGATTCGATGCAATTTTACAGCTTAGATAAATTTTCCATTTTCGTTTTATATTATAAGAAATTTCTAAAACGATTCATGCTACTGGATGTGTCGCTGTAAAGGACAGCGGTACAGAGTTTAGAAGAAATCGTAGTATGTTTAGACGCCGATTGGGTGGTTGGAGCACTAACTTGTACGCTGACGGCTGGTTAATTACTTCACTTGTTGTCACTTCAGCACTTCACTGGACAAACACGACACTTAGCGACGCAAAAGCGGTCACTAGAAACGCGGCGCGTTCGGCGGAAGCGGCGGGGGCGGCGGGCGTCAGGGCGACGCCTCCTCGGCGTTCTCGGTATCAGGAGGCACAGAACCACCCGCTACCACAGACACAGCGCTCAATTCTAAAGGCTCTGGTCCTGTCACCCGTCCAACACTGCATTCCATATCAGTTCTGAGGACGATTCAGACACAAAATTTTTATTTAACATTAACTGTTTATACAGTAACAACTGAACGTATAGACGTAAATTAAAGCAGAATATGTAATAGAAATCTGTGAATGCATCAAATTTCAGCAACCAATAGAGAAGTAGGAACTTACACAGTGCTAACAGTGGACATTTGCATTTTAGCACTCTGCCACTGTTCGCTCGCCTCTATAGAGTCCAGTTGGTCTTCACCGGGCACCGCGCTGGCACTCGACACAGCTTCGCTCGTGGACACCGGCGATTCGAGGTTGATCAGCGTCGCTGTAGCCACCTCGCCCACTCTGCTCACCTCGTCTGTGGTTGAACTGGTAGACTGACTTGTATCCACGGACTTCTGCATGTCTGTAGGCAAGTTAATTTATAATAAAATGACAGAGGGCGCTCAAAGGTAAACTTTAAATGAAAGCTTTGAGAAAATATCAGCTAGTACCAACAGTAAAAGTGATCAGTTTAGTTACAATATAATCAGCGTTATGAATTAGTATCGGTAGCGAGTATTATAAAGAGCGATGTGTACGATGGTGTCGTGATGAAATAAAGATAAAAAGCGGAGACCTGGCGCATGCACGTAAGTCAACCATTTCTTGAGCGGGCGACTGTCGCCGAACACGGGCAGCACCCCGCCCTTCATTGCATCTGCAACGGAACGCGTGCGCGCGCGTGTTAAACGACAGTTTCGTGCAAGCTGAGTACACGCTATGTTTATAAGGGTTATTGCTACATCTGTCAATAAGCTTCAGTATCGCACCTATCGATTATCGTTTTATTTTTCAAACGACATCGAAAAATACAATGCTTATGATTCTGGCCTTTAAGTATTCAACGGTTACCTGCGACCTATCACCACCAAGTGATCAGTTGACCTTAGTTTTTAGGCCCATATTAAAATCAAACTTGAATGATGTTCGTATCGCCGCCCGTATGTTATCCCATACATTATAAGACAGCATGTGCCTATCGCTGAAGCAAGTTGATAAATAAAGCAAAACTTTAAGGTGGTATGTCCGGGTGTTGTTTTCATACAAAAGTTTTTGCGCGAATTTATCCAAATATTACAGTTTGTCCAAAGTATTAACGTAACATGAACATAACATTAATATTAGGTAGAAAAAAAAATCAGTTCTGACACATTCACGTGCAAAACGTGCAACTTCAATATGTGTTGCGTGGTAAAACGAAAGGAATAGATTATCTCTGATCTCTCTTGGATAAACGATAAGTAAGAAATAGAGAAAACAGCAGAAAATATACAAGCCTGCTCAGTAACTGCAGTTGTGTTACAAAATATGTGAATAAAGTACATTTTGTCAACTTTATATTAAACTATTTTTTAATATCCCGAAACCTCTTAAACGTGTCATTTCTATCATTGTGTCATAACTTCGAGACTTGTTTAAAAATTACTTCTTTTTCAACCTTGGTTTCAAAGTTTCGATAATAAGCACACACACTAAGCAACTAAAAGTAATGAAATAAACTGGTAAAAATGACTTTGAAGATATATTGACGTTGTCAAATAAACTAGAGCGATGTACGTACATTTGATGATTCATTGAGCCCCTTTTCAAAAGTGTTTCCGTTCAGACAGATTATACGATAATTGATAGCAATGTGTGCCTACTGACTAATGAGTACCATGAAATGTGTCCAAAATGTAAACGTCTGAACTCAATTTATTTGCAATAGTTCGTATCTTCAATTACACGTTTTTCATTCATTTCTCTTTTGAACGCCGACTCAATGACATGGACAATAAATATATTATGCCATTTTAGTGCATGTTCCTTCCTAAGAACGTGTCGCAAATAACACGAGCAGCTCACACACCTCTAAGGGTAAAACTAGCACGACGTTTAATCATGTATCATATGAAATGTTCACGATAAACTGCTGCCAATACATAGAACTTCATTTTACTAGCATAATAAAATGTATTCTATGGCCCTGAACTAAACTGTGTATTGTTAAAGCTATACCTTGTTTGTGTTTGGAATCGCAGCAGGGCGGGTGAACGAGGTGAGGCCGGACTGGCCGCACGCGCACGCGGTAGAATCGGGAACCTCGCGGCATATGGTATCTATTTCCGCTCTGATAACAAAGATTAATTTTTTTTTTGTGCCAGCAACCACACCAAACATCTGGTCTCAAACTAGGGAATTCCCTATTCTATCATGATTACCATAGCAGCGGAATTCACTACAGAGAAGAACACCTAGACAAGATCTAATTCAGAAAAGTTCGTTTCACAAGTTGGTTCTACCGGGAATCGCAAACCATCGGGCCACCGAGGTCATCAAAAGTTTTGAGTAAAGACCACAGACATATCTGTGACTGTGAACTGGCAACCGGTACTATCTGAATTTTGACAACTTTACACGGTGTAGAAAAAAATTGTTTGCGTCATTTACATAGCAACTGGTTAATTAAATAAAAATACGGAGTGTATGTAACGCACACACACTCAAAATTCAGATAGTACCGATTGCCAGTTCACAGTCGATATATTAGACGCCGCAAGTGTACCATGTGCGCCCAATGTAAGTTATAAACAACTAGTTGGCGCTGCTTACGCCTCAGAACGCGCCCGGTCGTTATCGTAGTTAAACATCAGTCGAAAACGCGAAAAATGCCCAATTGTGCCATTAGAAACTGCAAAAACACCACAACTGTGAGGAGGTAAATAAACAGGGACGTTATGTAATTTTGTAATAAGAATATCGACTCATCCGAAGAACATAGTCCGATGTGATTATACAGCGAAAAGAAAATAAGTACGTTACGAGAATAATTTCATTATTCAAACTAAGGCGCATGTAAAGGTGTTTTGAGAATTTGTATATCTTGCTTCGTTTCGGATATTATAAAATCGAACAGTCGATCTGACATCCACAGCGAAGAAGAACGAACGAAATGTACTATGTCCTGAGAACAAGTAGCTTTGCACATAGACCTTTGTTCTACGGATGAGCGATATGCATAATTTATTTTAAAATCAAATATTTTCATTTTGAATAATTTCTAGAAAACAAATGTGCAAACGAGTGTATGCCGCTTGATTCTTAATACATTGCGATTTTTACTCGGTGCAGTACATTTGTACATTTGGTACTTCAGTTGGCCATGAATATCGAACAAGCGATACTTTTGTATAAAGCGTTCAGTTTCGTGGTACGGCCGCTTCGTCATGTTTTTGATCAAATTTTACGATTAGGGATGTTCACTTGATGCAACACAGTTCTCGATTCTAGTCGATTTAGGAAACAAAGGGATGATAATTCTTAAAACTTTGGAAAAAGTTGTAAAAATATTCCACTATAAAGTTTGTTGTTGTTTTCTTAATTTTACGGAGCAACTTTTTTTTTCAAAACACGTATTTATAAAGGACTTACCTAATTATCTCATTCTGCTATTAGTTTACTATATTCAAATTCACGGTTTCTTATAATCAACAAATACATAAAAAATCATTATTCTAAATACGTGTTGCGTCCGCGTCTTCGATTTAATCGACCGTTTTAATTCCGAAGGAGTTTCCATCAAAAAATAGCGCTTGTGACGTTATCGGAGGTACAAAAAATGTAGCACGCTTGGTTTTCATATAGAGCGCGGTACTTGCGGTGTAGATTTATATATATGTCTGTGGTAAAGATGTAGAATACTGAATATTTTAATATGTAACAATTTGCTTGGTGTGTGCAGGGCCAAATATAGGAGGTAGGGGTTTAATTTTACGTTAACATCGTTATACTCTTGTTATACTGAAATAGGTCAGAACTTTTTGTAAAATGATAGGGATATATCTGAATTTGATCTTGATAATCTAACGTTACAAAAATCGAGAAAAAAGATTAAATACAATGTAAAAAGTAATTTAAAATACACTATTTAGCGCGGTTCCTTAGCCAGAAGCTACTGACAGTCTAAATGTCTGTGTGACACCAGATGCACTCATCTCTGTTTTATGGGAGTGATCATAACCGTTGGTGCTAACCTCGACCAAAAGTATCAGAATCCACATTATAAGAGTCTCATGCTATACTGACACCCCACATTGACATCCGACATTGGGCGCCAACATAGTACGAGATTTTTGGCTAATGAGACGCGCTTTAATGGGAAAAATCTTAATTGTATGTAATTAACACTTACTTTCTTAGCATAACAAAATTCCTTGGACTCGACTATGGCGATGGCATACAATTTCCTCTCGCTGTCATTCTTCACCTGAATACTGAGATCCAACGCTGGCAAACAGTCGCTATGCACGAAGTACATTGTTGTCGCTTCCTGAAACGTCACAGAAAAAGGTTTCACAACTCCACAATGAAAAACAGATGGTGCTCTACGCAGAACGGGAAACTTCTGTAGACACAGGCAGAAAATCCATAAATCCATAACTAAGCGCGGAAAACGGTTGCTTCTCAACAGTCCACAGTTTGAATACCTGTGGCAGCTTTCTCTTTAGTAGTAATATCTCTCTTTAACGATGATCTTTCGTCGCTACAAACCTGCATGACAGTGTAGTTAAGATGCGCAGGCTCCCACATAACCAGCACGGTGTGACCCGGCTGGCAGGAAGACAAACTGAGCGTACCCGCGGCCAAGCCCACTGGCGTGTGGCTGCGCATGCGGGAACGCTTTAGCTCTTCTTTCTTTGGTGATGATCTGTGGATGATAGCGGATATCGTAATACAGTCAGCGTCGAATCATAGAAATCAACCTTATTTCAATTCATTTAAGGTGACTTGTCAGTTGATTTCAGTTCAATTTCAGCTATTGTAGCTGAAGCAAAACCACACCTTAAAGCAGGATGTATTTTCAGTAGAATGACAAATCGTCACAGCGATAAGAGCGTAAAGCCATGGTTTGTGCAATAGATTAACTGACATATTATTGTCTTCAATGACCTACCACTACAAAAGATTACAAAAAAAAAACAAAACAAGAGTAACATAGTCCAACAAATAATAAAGGGTTCATACTGCATTTTATACGACTAACCTGCCATCGCTGTCTTCCTCTTTACTCTTATCCTCCACTTCGGCTCGTTTTTCCAACTCCTTCTTCAGTTCTTGCACTTGCTGCTGGAGAAGAGCTTTTTCGTTTTCAAGTGTTGCCATCTGGAAAACAATGCATTTTTATTATTATAATCATATTGTCTTTATAACTGATTAAAAAAAAAGGAGGAGGTATTTTTTATGTATGTTATGCGATAACTCAATAAAATAAAATAACTTGATAAAGATGATTCTTTTTTTGTCCCATTTAAATTTGAAGAAAATATTCTAAAGGTGACAAAGTAGGGTATGAATGACTTTTGAGGACGGTTTTTTAGGACTTTGTACCGAGATTATTATTTCTAAGTTTTATAACCGACTGAAGGACTTGTATGGTCATGATATAAACTTAAAAAAATTGGTTATGACTTTTTTATTTTATTTATTTTGCTAGCCCTGAACTTTAGCCACGTTGTTGTTTGAGTGTAAATTGCTTACCTGAGTCTTCAGAAGCGCATCATAATCATTTGTCTCGGGGTCAGTGAGCTGCTGTATCGTATCCCGATACTTGGCACACTCTCTCGTTAGCGCTTGCTCGCGTTCACGCAGCAACTCAAGCTGGCGGTCCTTTTCACTTAGCAGCCGCCGAGTAGCATCGTTGATCGTCATTTGTGATGCCTGTGATCAAAATGAAGTGAGACCCCCAAAAAAAGACATTTTTACGTATTTCTACCATGTGAAAAATCGGTTTTACGACGTAAAAAAATACGTTTTGCATTTGTTTGTTTAATTGCAAATCTGCGGAGAAATCAGTTTCATTCGATTGTTATTAGAGATATTACAAATCAATTTTCTCTCCCATGTTCCGTAATAAATATGTCAGACGAACTTACTGTACAGTAAGACAGTATATTTTATTTCTAAAAGGCAAATGTTTAAATATCGTGAAATTACTTTCTTTGCATCCACCTCACATGCGGTACATCACAGGATCGACTCACATTTCGTCCAATCGTAACCCTGCGATTGTCTGTGGTACGATTTATTAACGCTTGTGATTGATTAAGGTGTGCCTCCTTCTCGCACATTGCAATCCATGGAATGTTAAACGAAAAACATTGAATTTAGAACTGACCTGTTTCTCTGTTTCGCATTTGCTTTTCAACGCAGCAACTTCAGTCGCAAGTCTCTGTACCCACTCGCTCTCGCACTTGGCCACGGCTTGCTTCACAGCCTCCTCCTTCTCTACCTCCGCGTTTTCTTTCGTTTGCATCACTATAGCGTTATGGCTCGTGATCTCTATCACGTCCGTCCGTTCGATCTTCTCGAGGCTGGATTCCGATGGTGAACGATCCATATTTGTTAATGCCACAAGGCGAAACCTGGAAAAGAAGACGGCGAATATAACAATATTTCAAATTGAACTTATAGGGACTTTCCGTTGTTCGCATTAAAATTTCCTTAACTTAGGTAAAATTGACCTATGAATACCCAGAACCAGTACCTACGTACATTCTTTGTTGAAGCACAAATGACACTGAATAAGCTCTCATTTTAATACAGTAGATAGTATAAATCAACTGTCACAAAGACTCCGAACAAAAATAAGTATGTTTTGAACACCACATTATTAACATAAAGAAAATACAATTTACGAAAATGGTATAGAACAATTATAGATAAAATCATAATAAATAAACAAAGGTTGGATCATACCTAGATCTTAAAGACTCAATCTCAGCTTTGTACTCCATATGCATTTTCTCCTGCAACTCTTTAATTTCTTTTTGCTTAAGCATTTCAAACTCTTCCTGTTTCTTCTCAAACGCCTTAATTTCCTCTTTCGTTTTTTCTAACAACTCGTTTGTACTTTGGTGTTGTTTCTCTAATTGTTCTATCCCCCTCTGATGATCAGATTTCACATCTTCCTTTTCTTTCTTGAACAACTCAATAACGTCATCTTTGTCCTTAAGAGCTGCCTTCATATCACTAAGTTCCAATTCATGATCAACAGTCAATCTTTGAGTTTGCTCTCTAAACCGTATGGCAGTTTCCTCATTATTCTTTTCCCAAACTTGTAACAACTGTATACATTTATCGTTTACCCATTTTCTCTGTTCATAAATATCTATTTTCAACTTCGTTAATTCTTCTTTTATGAACATAACATTTGCTCTGCACAAATTACGTAAGTTTATTAAGAAATCTTGTAATTTTTCCACGTTTATTTTATGCGTATCCATGTTATCCTGAAATATAACTTTATGATTAGTTTTCAAAAGACTGTATTGAATTAGACAACCCTAAAAGTGGTTTATAAAAATAGCAGAATAATGACAAAATATTTTCACTCTAATTCTACATATCAAAAGACTACTTTTTTAAAACGACTTCTCCTATTCTTCTTTCGTCGTTTGCAATCAGAGTAAATTTTAATACGAAGGCTATAACCGCCCCCCTCAAACACGGATGGACGTAATTTACAATGTCGACGTAAAATAGTTATTTACGTTATTAGGGTTTATTCGGATTTGGGTTAATTCGTGTTATACGTCGTAATGTGCCGTTTTCGTCTAAAACGTTATTTGGGTAATTTTTATGTTAGTTTTCTCCCATCATTTCAGTGGCAATTTTTAATAATATTTATATTCTAGATTATAGTGAGATCGTATTGTACAAAAAGTGAGGTATTCTGAACTATTACATAATATTTCAAAATAATATACTTGAATACTTAAATAATAAAAATTGCCAAATTAGGTAGAGAAAACAAACCTGAAAATTACCCAACTACATAACTAATGTTGGAAGAGACAATATTATGATCTACAGAACAGAAATTTTAACATTGACTGTGCGTCTTCTAACATTACATAAACAACGCTTTCCTTTATTTGTAATATGTAGTAAGTAGGTGATCGTGATGGGAAAGAGCATGATAAAATAAAATATAATGCTACAGCTGGCGGGGCCGGTGGAGACAGGAGCAACAAAAAATATAAAAGGCGAACACTTAGATAAGACCTTTCGATTGAAGTTCATTCAATGAAATCTTTGGTTTAAACGGGATCGAAATTGTTGTTTTTTTTCGTTTGTAATAAACTCTAATAATCAATTTATGATTCTTCATTAATCTAATGATGAAATATAAAAAAATATGAATTAATTACATTGATACTAAGGAGATATGACATAAAGTTTTACTAAAGGCCTTATAAAAGCGTCAAGATGATTCGAAACGGGCAAAAGAACACCTGTCGGACGTCCCGGCCCCATTCCAAGCTCGATGGTAGAGACTCTTCTATATAAAACTGGGAGTCCACAAATTCTTGTTTTGGACTCTTTGGACTCTCCAAGGTCTCCAGTATAACAGGTAGAGTTCGCACCTCGGTCACTGTCGACACCGCCATTGTCTCAGGTGCGCATGTTGTTGACGTATCTATCTTTTGTTTCTTACTACCTTGTCTGCTCAGTCTCTCAAAGTCGCTGGTTTGTGATTCAAAATCCCTGCAATAACAAAAAATATATTTAAAAAATGGAGTGTACATTTGGTTGGTACAACGCTTATCTCCTATTTAGGAGGCCCTGTGTTAGATTCATGCTGCATTAAACGTTACTCGAAATAACGAGTTGCAATTGAGTTTTGTAATAATCACTTGCTTAAACGGTGAGGAACTAAACACCGTTATGAAAGATGCGTGGAAAAGAAAGTTCACGAAACTCATGGGATTTAACTGATTGTAGTCAGTTAAATACAATAAATATTTAATTATTAAAAATATATATTTAAAATAATAAAGTTGTGATTATAGGATTAAAGACGGAGTACGAGTAAAATGAGAGTTCATTGGGCAATAGTGTTGCCTGCTTGCGAGCAATTAGAGATTGCAGTCGATAAATATTCTATCGACTATCGACAGCACATTGATCACGCTTATGGAATAAATAGCCGAAATTGTTTCATTTGAATCATCCTCGACTTTTTTTATTCGTCCAATTACTTCAACACAAGTTCATTTCAATTGTGAGTTCCTGTAAGTTCATACAGATATACACTGTATTTAGAACTATGTTTATGAAAAATACAAAGTGAAGAGATTTTAAAGCTTTTCATTTTAATTCAATAGTAGATAATCGAATCCTTCAATTCTTGTTAAAATGTATATGGATACTATTAGGAAAACTGTCAAAATAAGAATAAGGAATTCAATAACGCAATTAGTAATCATTAGAACGTCGTAACATTAAGTCATCGAGTATATAACCAGAAATAGAGACGAAATGTCATTTAATTTGTTTGAAAACTATTCTGCCATATCATTACTGTGACAACTGCGCTCCGATTGGTTAGCACGAGTTCGAAACAATTGACGGATGTCGTCATTAGGTGTCGTGAACTGTTTCACTTCAAATCGACAAGTTAACTTGAGCTTTGCTATAATGGACGAAAATTGCAAAATTACATATTTAATTATCGAGTTCTTAGGTTTTCGCGGTGGTTACACATAGGAAATGAAACTATTTTTCCGGATTTAAATCGCGTATATTCGTTTTTTCAAACAAACTGACGTTTCGGGCCCTTTACAGGTCCCATGGTCACGGTTGACTGATTTAATTAACATGGTTTAATTACCGATGAAATGTGATTCCGTTTGTTTTGTAATTAGATGTTTTGCTGTTTTTCACCACCGAACCGAATAGAACAGCACGGCATTGTTAGAGATATTATCTTTATTACAAAAAATACAGAATATTACGAATGCCATCAAGCACTCATGGAGGTATGTATACAAAACCACGTAACTCTTCAGTGGATTAAAGGACACAGCGGCTCACGTGGCAATGACGCAGCAGATGAACTAGCCAGGAAAGGGTCGGAGACGGACGCTGTAGGACCAGAACCGATAGTGTCCCTCCCCTGCCAATGGTCCAGAACAACTATACACAAAGGTACAAAATCTTTACATAATAATACATGGACCACCCTTACGGTTTGTAGACAGGCGAGGGAAGCACTCCCAACGCTCAACGCCAGTCTATCTCGAATACTAATTAAACTTAAAAGGCAAGAGCTTCGCACTCTAACTGCCGCCCTAACGGGTCATGGTCCATACAATAAACACCTTTTCAATTTAGGTATCACAGACAGCCCTCTATGCAGAGCGTGCATGGAGGGGGAGGAAACGGCTGCGCACATCCTACTTCAGTGCTCCGGCGTGGCCAACTACAGGGCAAAATACCTTGGAGTGCCAAGGTCGCTCCCCGAAGTCTTCAGCAAACCAAGGAGGCTGCTGAGATTCCTGGAGGAGCTTGGGTGGCACGAGTAGGACCCTGCACCCACCACACGCAAAATAGGCGCTTTGTCGTCGAGTTGCGGATACCAGCCCGTTGCACCAAGTACCAAGTACCAAGTACCAAATACAGAATATTTTTTGGAATATACGCAGACGTACACACAGGTCAGTAGTTGGCCTGTCTATATTTCAGTGCAAACGGGACTTGATATTTATAAGAGCTGTATCGCTAACGTGTTACCAGGAATATACGGCCCTTATTCCGTCTCTATTTCTGGTTACATACTCGATGCATTAAGTACAACAAGTTCAGTAATTTTTGGAAAATTTTATCTTCTTTCACAATCTATCGATAAAACTATCGACAACTACATATGAAATTTATTTAAATTATGAAAAAAAATATTAAGAAAACTGGCAACCCTACAAATGACATTTTACTCCGTTTTCAAAAAAGACAGACTAGTCACTGTGATGAAAAATGCCCTAAAACCCAGTCCCTAGACCCGTACTTAACAGTGGGACATACGATGCGAGCCATTCATAAATTATACCTAATATTTACAGCTTTATGATACAACTTACTTATCGAGGTCTACTTGCACATGGACATCCCTTTCAGCGTGTTCCGATGCGGTTAACCTAAAAAATATATAAAATTATACATAATAGTCTCAATTATTTACGTAATACACAGCACATGAGTGTAATCTGATGATATCTCGAAACCTTTTCCAAATCACAAAATAACATGAAAGTTGTCATTTAGGTGTAAAAGTACATACATATTGAGAAAGTAGCTCACCTTTGCTGAAAGAACTTGACAATCGTCTCCATATCATAATTCGGCACATCTTTGGCTAGTTCAGGAAACGTACTGGCAATAAATTCCACATCTTCCTCTGACAACTTGGGCAATCTTGCGTCGAAAACAGGCGGTGTCTGGGTCGCGAACGCAGGAGGCAACTCCGTCATCCCCGGGAACAGTGATTTGAGAAAATGCCCCTCAAATAACGTGTTGAATTCTTGTCTCCGCGAAACCTCTTCTTCGTGTATTTTGAGCAATTTATTTGCAAGATCTGTTGCCCACTGTAATAATGGAGAACTGCTATAATTCTGGACTCGTTCCAAGCTCGAAGTTCTACGTTTATTATACATGGGGTTAACGCTTCCTAATACGAGTAGATGGCGCTAATCCTAAACAAAGTAAACGTTTAAAAAGTAAAGTAAATGAATAGCCGGCACTATGCTTAAAAATCTGAACATAAGCACCATCTAGTTTATTTGTTTATCACTAGAAACTAGTAGTAAAGTGTCTTGTCAATGTATTATATAATAAATTATAAAATAGCAATTTGGTACTCATCGCGACATCTGGTGTAACAATGGTACTAAATACCCGACCACGCTGTCTTGTATCGCGATTAGCAGTCCTCTTGGGTTATTCGTCCATGCTGTAGCTAAGTCAGTACCTTAAGGTGAGCCTGAGAGAAAGTCCGTCTTCTAGCGACCTCATGCACGGCACGCACGAATACTTTGGGCGCGTGGTGAAGTTGGGTAACGATGCCAAAATAGCGTGCCAGCCGATTGAAGCACTGGAACGACAGCATCGCATGCGCATCTTGTACTGACATGGAATTCTCGATCACCAGCACTGCCCTGGAAAAACAGCATTGAATACAGTTACACTATAGTCTGATTTTCTTGTCGTTTTGACGGCTACTCAAATTTTATAAACCCAGTGCTTCGCCAACCTAACGGCATGGCGGCATCTCTTGCGTTCATAAGTTCCTTCGCATGCTGTTTTCTGGTCAGCTGTAGATTAAAGAACACTCGCCAACACACCGGCGCGGTGTTCCAAACATGAATGTGAAATGAATTCCCACCTGAATGGGTGTGAAACACCTGTCCACAGTAGTTGCAGTGTCAGTCAGATAGTTAAATTGCCAAGACCTGACGGATCACTGTCACTAACTGTAATTTGTAACCTGTAATTTCCCCAGTAATGATCAAGTAGTAATGATCACATTACTACTTGGCGGCAGAAATAGGTAAGTAGGAAGTACTTCCGTGGACGAACCCTTTCACAAGGAGCTCTACTGCTACAAAAACTTAATTTATCATCAATTTAAATACATGAATGGTGAACAATGATTGGTTATTCAATACACATTACAAACATTAAGTACTCACTCTAATCTAGTCTTGAGAATGTAAGAGAGCTCGTCCTTAGACTTGGCGATGCGTCGGCGAATATCGACTAGCTTCTGGTGTCCTATGAGGAGCTTTTCCAGTTGGCACCAGTGGGACTGCACTAAGGTCGGCAGTACGGATGGATCGCAGGCAGAGTTCAATCGGTCGCGGTACTGTAAATGAAAATGTCATTTATTCTTTATTATTGACACTTGAATTTACACCACCTTAAAGGGTAAAAAGAGATTTGAATCTATTTCTTAGTAAATGAACGAACGTGTTACTTACTTGAATAAGAGAAGCAGCCTGGTCATGCTGATCTCTCTCGAGTTTTTTGACGTCACTGAGTAGCTGGTCGAGTCCATACAGCCTATCTTCAATGCCCTTGATCTGCTTCAACCCGTGCATGTTTGCGTACTCCAGGAGGTGATATAATTCGGCTTCGCGCTCTTTTAGAGGTTCTGCATCGATCTTTTAAAGTGAGAGGACAATGACTATAATAATGATATGATAATAATGATGCAAATTTGATAATGAAATATCGCAATTTTTGTTTGTGAAATTTTAAAAGGAGGTTTTTACTGGCAACCAATGATATTAACTGGCAACACTTGTATTTAAAGCACTGTTTCTAAAACTATTTCGAGAGCATTCATATTTAACTCGTCACATCATAAAATTGTATAAATTTATCATTTAATCTCATGGTTCGTTCACTTTAATCAACACCAGGATAGATTTATTTCACATATGAGTAATGAGTAATTTTATGAAAACGTTACACCAGTGTTACCTTAAAACACACTTTGATAAAGGTTTCTATTTGCGATAAGCACTGTATCGTATGGAAGGAATATTATGTTATGGTGGTCGCATAACTTTACAATCATTTTCAAGCAGCTGAATTCACTGTAAAAAATAATTATAACTTCTAAGTTTATACATCTACGAAACTGGCATGCATTATGCTGGTATACATTCGAATGAACCCATACTTGTTAAAGCGAACTCCAAAGGCAAGAAGTTACGGTCAACGTCGTTTGAAAGCTTGTACAACTTCCTTCACGCACAAAAGAATTTTCGTAAAGGCGCCAAAAATGTACAATAATTGACGGAAAGAATTATGAAAAACAAAACACCTTGTGCTATTCAAAAAGTAATTAAACAACTTGTTAACAAATAAAATGAACTATTACAGTGTCCGAATTTAATAACACAAACCCTAAGTTCATTGGCTAATTTTTTACATTATTAGTTATTATGTACATTTCTTTGAATTTATTAAAATTATTATTCTATTACATGTCATCTGCTATAAGTTACAAAACCACACTGTGCCGCCTTCAGCAGACTACGTCGCCTTTTCGAAAGCGGCAAAGTTGCCTCACTGTTTACACCGAGTCGGCAGCCACCTTCGCCAAAATCGCCAAATCATTGTAAATACAATGCGCACAGAAACGCTACAAATTGTTCAGAACTTTCAATAAACTGATCGGGTAGGTAATTATTCCCCGGACCCCAGCACGCGCATCGTGGAAGGGCGCGGTCGTCGACACGTTGAAACATGTTTGTCTGAGTCCATAGTCCGTCTTTTTTGAAGACGGAGTAAAATGAAAAACGCGAATGTGTTGCCCGCTTGCGAGCAGCTAGTGATGGCAATCCATAAATATTCTATCTATCTACTACTATCGAGTAAATATTGGTCACGCTTATGGAATAAATAGCCGAACTTGTTTCATTTGAATCATCCTCGACCCATTATTCGTCCAATTACTCAACACAAGGTCATTTGAATTGTCTATTTTTGTAAGTTCATGCGTACTGTATTCCGAAGTAGTATGTTTATGAAAAATGCAAAGAGGAGACATATTTTAAAGTTTTTCGTTTTAATTCAATATAGATAATCAAATCCGGTTATTCTTGATAAAACAACTGCCTCGGTGGCCGAACGGCTACCATGTCGGACTGCCATGCAGAAGTCCCAAGTTCGATTCCCGGGCCGGGAGAAATATTTGCAAGGCCTACACTCATTTCTCTCGTGAGTTTGGGTGTAATTTGTGGTTGTATATGTGTGTGTCCATGGCACCCGCGCCACAGTGTTTACCTAGTGCGAGACTATGTTGAGTTTGTGCGTTATTATTGTTAAAAAAAATCGATACTACTAGGTCAATTGTCAAAATTAGAATAAAAAAGGCAATAACGCAATTAGTAATCATTAGAACGTCGTAACATTCACAATTCAGTCACTTTAGGCAACATTTTATCTTCTTTCATAATCTATCGGTAAAACTATCGACAACGACCGCATAACTATTTAAAATTGTATGAAAACTGGCAACCTTACAAATGTCATTTTACTCAGTCTCAAAAAAGACAAACTATAGTGATTACACATAGTCGACTTCGACAACGAACTACGGTCGTCACACGACTTAGTGTTTACACAAGTCAGGCTACCGCCTTTGGCAGACAAGCGAAGCGACCTGTCGACCTAGTGTAAACGCACCATGATGGTGCTAGCATTGGTTGCTCTATAATACATGCAGGCGTGATGTTCAAAATTACTGTGTTCTGAAAAATGAGCAGCTCCTGAACTGCTCTGATAATAATATGACTATGAGAGCCAGAGGCAGTAAAATTCTCATTGTTTACTAAAATGTTTCTTTCAGAGTAGTAATTATGCGCAATCCATACTCATGGACATATTTGGAGGAACACTAAAAAAGGTTGAATTATTACTACAACATTCATATGAACCAATGGCAACATTATAAACCAGATTATTTAATCGAAAGCAAAAGACGATTGAAGTCATTCTTTTTCAAATTAAACGTTCAGTTACATGTGGCTCATATGAACATTGTTACTAGTGATGAAAGAGACTTAGTCTTTTAAGGTATTTTAAAAATACCTCGACCAATTTTCAACGCCTCACGACTAGTCCTAGTCTTTTAACCTTCAAGTCAAGACTTCACGATATTTGACTCAAGAGTCATAAGACTAAAACTGAAGACTAGTTCGAGTCCAAGTCTTTTAACCCTAGGAAGCTTAAAAGACTTATAGGACTAAAACGACTAAAAAGACTAAAACGACTGGCGCCTTATAGCCTCGGGAGTCGCGAGTCATGAGCCGTATGGCGTGATTTTATTTCTACCCACAAGGTATTTATTTTACGATTTTTATTATAAGTAAATAAACGTGATTATTTACTACATACTACTTACATCTTTTTATTTATAAACTTCGGGTTTAATAAGACATAAAATAGGTATAAATCTTTTGCAAACAACTCGAATCGTTTAAGTCTTTCAAGTCGTTCCAGTCGTTTAAGTCTTTTGAATCTTTTAGTATAACGACTGAGTCTTATTAATAAAAACTCGCACGCCTAGTCTTAGTTTTGGAGTCGAGACCTGTAAAATGGAGTCGAGTCATTATAATACGCTTTAAAAGACTGAGTCTCTTTCATCACTAATTGTTACCATAATTCAACCTTTTTTAGCATATCTATTAATGTATTGTCAAAGTTAAAAAAATACTATTATTTAAAGTTATTAATTAATTTTTACGCAGTGTATTAAAGTTTCGCGACAAGCGTAACATCGTATACCTTTCGTTTTATTCCGATGTTATGACTGATATCAACTTGTCATAACTGCGAAATTATACCTTGCCTTCTATACAGTCGTTACCAATAGTACTGCCCAAAGATCTTTTGTTTCATGGCGCCGGAAATATCATCGGAAGTCAGGACCATCCTTATCAAGTATCCCTAAATAAACGACGGCATGACATGTTGAATACTTACCAAAGCCAATCCCTTCTGACAATAATCTAATATATCCTGCAATGAAGCCTTGTTTCCCTGTGCTAATATCCAGTGCAGAAGTGTAGGGTCTTCTTTACTCTCATATGACTGCGCTTTGAACGTAACCCCTTCGTCTGAGGACTCGATCTGCTGAACTGCTTCAGATTGGACCACTTCCTTGCTGGTAGATGCTTCTTTCTTTTCGAATACTGAAAAAAATAACAAAGAAGTTGTATTTTTATATATTAAAGAATAATTCACCTATTATTATTCATATATTATTAGCTCTGACATCATCTGTTTATTTTGTATGTCGAGAAAACTTTCTCAAATTTTTGAGGCAACATCTGGTTTGCCTCAGTAGTCATAAAGAAGGATGTTCGAAATAGTTGTGTACAAGGATAGCAAAAAAAAGATTGACATTAAAAAGTTACCTAACCTCTCATAACATCTCGACAACGTCATTATCTCAACCCCGAGAAAAATTGTATTATTATGTATTCCAAGCGCTCAAGCACAACATCCAAGTTATAGTTGTTGTGCTTGAGCGCGTATTATTAACCACGTTTCCCGCAAATATTGCTTTGAAGTCGCTTCCATAATTGCGGCATGACGCCGCCGCCGGTCTTAACGAGAATGTTTAAATCTTGAATTATTGGCAGAACAAATTTAACATATAACTCAATTATATGATTAGTTTTGTCTATTAGAGCAACACATGTTACAAATAATAGCACGTTGCAAATGATAGTATCACCGTTGCAAACAATAGTTAATATTATTATATAATATATAATTATTATTAATTATTAAATTACGTATCAAATAAATTAAGTGCGACAAAAACCGCATAGTCTTAAACTCATTTTTTAATGATATTAAATGACGGGACGAACCAGTCGTACGCCTGGTATTAAGCGACACGCCTGTCCATAGCAGTTGCCACTCAGATCTTTGAATCGCAAAAATCTTAGTTGTAAAAGTTGACAAGTCGCATGTGTCTGTAATTTCACCAGCACCTTTGCTCCACGCAAGGCTCCCTAGAATTACTTATTCATTCAAGTCGGATTTATGGCTTTAGTTCTAACGGTTATACAACAATCTAGACCTCTTCTTTCGTATAGGACCTTGACTTTTATCCATCAGTCTGATTGCTGACGTCAACTTTGTTCTCAAGTTATTTATGTGTTAGTCAAATCAAAGTTGTGTTAGACAATACAGAAGTTTCTAGAGGTTGACAAAAATAACCAAAACTAGGCATTTCAACAAAACGTTGGTAAAATCAACACGTTGTGGGAATAAAGCGCGAGAGACGCACCAGTAATAACAACAAAACAATGTTTGCTCAACTGCTCTAATTCTTAAACGCACAATAAAGGAATTTGCTCATAGTAAATAACTCATACTACAGAACCTTAAATCCTAAAACTACGTAGTTGCAGAAACCAAATAGAAAAACCTATGCTGTAGAAAAAAAAATTACTGTGTCATATTGAGTCCGAAATTCTTTGGCTATTTAGCATTACAGCAGTGTTCTTGTACGGGTCATTTGTGAAATATTATAATTAATATTATGTACTAACATCGTAAACAACAACTTTTGTTTTATGACTTATAATAATTCATCACATTGTGCTTTCATACAAAAATAAAAATATTTCAACAGATCGCTCTAAACGGTGATAACTCTGTACGGTTACAAAAGAAAGTGGGAGTCGTCGGGGAGAACGCTTGCGCGTTTGAACTTCCTACCAAATACAGATCTAAAAAGTGCACAACAAAAACTTAAGTTTCTTTTTGATAAATTTATGTTTTGTAAAGTCATGGAACAAAAGGTGTTACTTATTATATTTGTAACATAGTCCTACAAGATGGTTAGTATTTTACAAATAACACTGTATAGTCAACTGTAGAAAATTATAAATCGCTGATCAATTAAATAATAGAGACCTAAACTAACACAAATTAATGCAATTTTAAGTGATATTTCTTTTCTAATAAATTGGTTTCACTTTTCATTATTTAAAAAGTATAACGAAGATCTATAATCTTAATAGTTTAGACTGGTGATGGAATGCAAACTTTTGCAAATTGGTTCTAGTCTTTAGTAAATCCTTGGAGTAAATTTCGTAGCTCTGGTACTTGCCTTCACTAATCTCCAGAGTGTGTCATAAACATTTAATGTGGATGTCTAGCATATTACAATTATTAAAAATTGAAAATTAGGCTGCTGTTAAGCTCGATATTTCTATCAAATTATACATTTGAAATTCAGATTCAGAGGTTCAGGAATGGAATTCGAAAGTGCTTATACTAGGTATTTCACGCTAAATGTCCGTCTGATTTTAAAATTAGAGTACTAGTGAGTGAGCGTGTCATTTAAAATTCTAATTGGCATTTGCAATGTCTATGTTTTTTTCGGGGCCAGACAGGAAATAATTACTAAGACAGTAATTCCTTCAGCAATTTATATTCATCCTCAATAAAAAATTAAATAACACTAATTAAAAATAATCTTTCATCTTATTAAATAAAATAATAATAGGTAGCCTACATATTCCCACTGTTGGACACAGGCCTCCTCTCACAACGGGGGGGCTTGGGCTGTAGTTCCACGCGGGCCAAATGCGGATTTGAAACCACATACACATCATTAAATTGTTTTGCAGATATTATATACAGGTTTCCTCGCGGTTTTCCTTCACTGATCAACTCATAGTAAAATCTAAATTATACGTCACACATAAATTCCGAAAAGCTCAGAGATGCACACTCGTATTCGAACCCACGACGAGGATTTGAGAAACAGTAAATTAAAAAATTAGGCTACAATGGCATTAAATATTTGTGAAAATCGAATAAGTAATAGACGCAATTTTCGACAAGACAGTTGAGAATGAAAAGCTTTGAATGAAAACTTGAAAGAGATGACATCGGCTGTACTTATTCTGTCAAAATAGGGAAACGAGACAAAAGCCAAAGGGCCTTGGAAGTTAAATACCTTTTGCACTGAGGAAATTACTAACAATAATAATCAAAGTCTTTGCATTACAACATTGTACATATGGTTTAATTAACGAGAGTAAATTTAGGATTTTTTTCTAAGTGTTCGAGCTTTATATTAATAATTATTACAAACTAGTGGAGTAATTTCACATAAAAAATAATTAATAATAATAATAATAAATTTATTTCCTTCACACACAATTGCAACCACAATTAAACATTCTTAAGTAATAAAACATTTGTTGTCTGTGAAGGCTGGAGCCTAAACTAGGATACCCTGTACTGTAGGCCTCCGCCTACAGATAAAGTATCAATAAAACATTGACTGCGTCACGAATGATTCCTATGAGAAAAAGTTAATCCAAATATCATTGAAAATTAAATTTTATTGAATATCTATTCAATAAAAATTTAAAAAGAGAGTAAAAGTAAGAAACTTTTGTTTTTTACATTCTTTTTATAAGTTTCGCGATTCAATAAGCATATATTTACAGACTTAGAGACAATGCTTAGGGAACTCAAATTATCGGAACATTAAAATCGTTATCCAATAAACTTTTTTAGTGATTCTTTATTCTATAATCTGTTATAAGAATGTAAGTTTAATCACTTACCATCCTCCTCAGACAGCTTGAACGCCTCAACACCAAAGTCTTGCCCCGTCTTCTCTGAACTGCTGTCCAGTGGGTGACTAACTCTGTAGGGATGACCTTCGAAGTCAGTCTCTTCAAAAACGTCGAACGCTGAGAATCTGTGGGCCTCTGCATTCAACTGCAGAGCGGGTAGAATTGGGATTTTGCCTAGGGACTCTAGAACCCCGTTGAGCCTGGAAGGAAAGATCCTGTATTACAAAAAATTTTAGGGTAACTGTGATTTTTTTTATGATACCAAGTGACGGAACGAAGAAGTCATACGTCTTGTGGTAAGCGACACGTATGTTGATAACAGGTGCAGTGCCATTATCACCCTCCACTCACAAAGATCTGAGGGGCACTGCCACACCCTGAGACACAAGTGAACAAGTCCCATGTGCCTGTAATTTCACCAGCACCCTTACCCTTCAAAACCGACGCGCAGTAATGCTCACAATACTCTTTGGCAGCAGAAATTGGTCAGGGGGCAGTACTTCTACAGCAATCTTTAATTTCAATATTCTAAAACTGGGTTATGATATCTCAAAAAAATATTTTGTCACTTACTCGCGTTTTAGTTAGCGGACGACGGTACAGACAATCACAAATTACACCAAAAGTCACAAGAGAAATAAATGTAGAGAAACAAATATTTCTCCCGGCCCGGGTATCGAACCTGGGATCTCTGCGTGGCAGTCCGGCATGGTAACCGTTCGGAAACAAATAGAGAGAAACGGTATAGAGATAGCCTACCCAAAACCACGGTCGGTACGAACACGTGTTACCGTGATCATGGTACCCTATTTATTTGAAAATATTAGAACATTTAACTAAACATAATATCATACTATACTGTGAAGTAAATACAATCAATCGTTTCCGTGTTAAATAAACAATATAAGCTTATCGACATTATTGGCCCCGATATTGCGAGAATATAAGAAAACTGGGACAGATTGTAGGCTAGCGGGTCGGCATTCCAACTGCGCATGATGTCTAAACGGTCTAAAAAGGTAATAAGCATTATATATCATTACATTACAATGTATCAGTAAGTATATCATAACACAATGTATCAATAACATTGTCCTTTATATAGCCAATTGTCTATCAAAACTAAAAATAAAAATGGGCAAAAATTGTATTGCAATTGTTAGAATTTTATGCGTTATTGTAAAGAAAAATATCTTTATCTATATATAATATCAAGTGACGGGACGAAGAAGTAGTGCGCCTGATGACAAGCTACACACCTTTCCGTAACAGTTGCAGTGCCTTCAGAGCTTTAAATGGCAAAGATTTGAGGGGAACTGTCATTTCGCCCGTCACCCTGAGACGTAAGTTGACAAGACTCATGTGCCTGTAATTTCACCAGCACCCTTACCCTTAAAAACCGGAACACTGTAATACTGACATTCTTCTGGGCGGCAGAAATAAGTAAGGTGGCAGTACTTCCCTGGACGAACTCTTTCACAAGGAGCGCTACTGCTACTAAAATCTACTCTACTAGCTCTACTGCTACTATCGCTTAATATGTCAAACATGAAACCAAATACTATCGAAACTCAAAATTGACAAAACACGACTTGAAAGTTCAAAAAATTATAGAATAAGATCAATAAATTTATATTCTCGTTTATAAATGGATGACTAAATATTATGTATAAATATAAATAATCACAATATCCGCAATAGACACATCCAGTTATTTATTAACTTTCAAATCCTGTTTTCTCAATTGCACCAATGTTTGAGTTACGACAGTATTTGGTTTCAAGTACGATATATTTCACGTGTATAGATTGTATTAATACATTACGGTACTGTCAAAAGCGCAATGAAAATCTCTTAAATCATTATTTCGTAGATCGGTATAAACAAGTAAAATACTCTACAATACGAAATATTACTAGACAATACGAAACATTGAAAATCGTTGGGTCATTCACCAATTTATTCATCTAAAACGTAAACAATCACATTATCTTATCGGTCAGTCAAATCATACCTTACGGCAAATGGAAGCTAAAGCAGTAATACGTATTATGAGTTATTTATTACTTTTTAACTTCCATTTGTGTCGTTGCAGGCTTAGTAGGCATTAGCCTGCAAGGACACATTTAAGAAATTACTAAGATATGTACGTAAGTATATATATCAGAAAATGCAATGTATGTTTCTGATTTGTTAGCTAACATTTTAAGGATACGTCCAGTGGATGAGAGCTAACAGCCTTTAGTGCGATGACTAGGAACACAGTATCGAGTCAAAAATGTCGATAATTTACTCAGGAGTATTATTCGATAAGAAGAATAAGAATTCCAAATAATGGTGTTGCGTAAGTTCCGTTAGCACGACAGAAGGCATGTTTGATAATTGTCATTTGTTATTGAGATAGGTCTTAAATTGGAATTATTGCCATTTAGTATAAAACAGTAGAATTATTCGAAACGATACGTATCAAAAGGGATTAGTATAAAAAAATATCGAATAAAAAGTTAGAAGAGTACAAAAGTATTTTGTATAAGCTTGACATGCAGGGAAGAGCAGAGGGCACTAGACTGCGTGGAAGATCACCCAAACGATGGGCCGATCAAATAATCTGCAGTGGGTCCTTTACATATGCGCACGAGGGAGTCCACTAACAGAAAGAGATGGCGAAATATAGTGAGGAGAGCCACATCAGCCCGTAACAAACATGCTCTGTGATGACCACGACCGCCCTGCCTATTGCTACGAAACAGTAGAAGACAAAAGTATCGGTATCGAAAAGTATCTTATAATATATACTTTTCCATGTACCGACGCGGTGATCCCTTTCTGTTGCTCTTTTCCATAGCAAATGTTATTCCTATTCAACCCAAATGTTATAATAACACCAGATTTTTAGCAGTTTCAGAGGGGTTACATAATAAAATGTATAGCGTTCACATACTGAAAATGCCCTTTAGAGGATACCATCAGCTGATGAATAACGATCTCATATATACATCTAACGTCGTACTCGCTTAATGCGAGTAAGAAGTTTTTCTTACTTCATTTAACCACACAAATAGACCGTGAAAATACTTTGATAAGAGGGGTTTATATTCCTTAATTATCTAAACTGGTAAGATCACGAAGATAAAGTGTATCATGGAGTCATTACTAACATTATCATAACATAGATGCACTACAAAGCACCGCCGATCTGATCCGCTGTCGCCAAAACTCACACATTCATAATTTGAAGCACGATGAAATTTTAATCTTGATAATGATTAGTCCGTAGTTTCTAATTTAAAAACTTTACCCTGTTGGCGTATTGTTAGAAGTTCAATATCTATTATTGTAAGTTACGACGTTTTGATTTTATATTGAAATTTCAATCAATGTGCTGCCATCAAGCGGCCAATAGCTGAACGACGGCGAATTCGAGATGTTTACTTAGTTCTCCAAAAATAAAACGACTGAAGGCGAAGGCGAATGAAGGTTTACTTTCATTTCTTGTAACAAAAAATTTATTACTATGAACTGACAATTGAAAATTTATTATTATTAAATAAAATAAGACAGCGACGACATAGAACACCGCCATGGATAATATTACAAGTACGGCTATCAATTTACCCTCCAAAGTAGCAAAATAAGGCATTATCCTACGATTTTCGAGGTTTGGCGCGAGATAATTGACACGACCATAACGTACTACAAAGCGAAAATGGCAGACTGAGCTCTAGTATGTAGAACTCCGCGTACTGTTGGCACAAGTGTCACGCGCACTAAGCACTTCTACTGTATATTGTTCTGTGCTACAAAAAATAAACAGAATAAATACAAAAATTTGAAAATACCGTCGGAATATACAGTAACCACGTTTGAAATACTTTGCAAAGTACTTTAATTGTTTAATTAATTTCAAGATAACACGACCAGTCGAAAGAACAATCAAAACAGTACATAAGTGGCAGTATTACGTAACCACGTAACGTGCACGGTACGCTTCCAATAAATGTTATAATCCTTGGCGTATTTTTAATCAGCATAGGTGAGCCGGTGGAGGCCATGGTCGCATTGAATGCCACAATTTTTAAAATGCAATTGACCGTGGCGCCGTACATACCTATGTGTTTTGAAGTTTGTTTTATGACTGAAGACGACAGTTTATGCGAAATAAAAAAAAATTGAAAAGTCATGTAGCCAGCACAAGATTCACGTAAGTGACAAACCTAATAATGATACAGTATCACGCACAAGTAACTATACCAAAGGCTTTTAATTATGTAATGCACAATTTAAATGATCGTAGACGTGTCCTAAGACATTCTACAAACACTAAAAGGCAATGTTTTACTAAAAGTAATGAATAATTTAGTGAAATATAAGCCATAAGATCCTACAAAGCTCTTTTACTCTTTCAAAAAATACGTTTAGCCTCATAAGTCAATACCCTTTATCTTAGGAATAGTTGAATATTTTTTCACCTGTACGCGTAAGTTGGTAACCATTTCGTTGCTATAGTGTTGCATGTCGGCTAGCCATATTTTATTCATTGCTGTACAAAGTTATGATGGTTTAAATTGCTGCCTTTCTCCGCTTAGAGACAATTTGTGACGTTTTTGTATGAAATATGATATCGTTACAAATTCTACGCTTTCAAAGAGGTTCATTTAATCTGTTGAACTGTGAACCTGTATTGAAACACTTTCGAGAATTTTCTGCTTACATTTAACTATCCTCGTAATTTCATCTTTTCTGCGAAATCTATATTTCACACAATTTCAGTGAAATTCTACGCACTTCTAGTTAACAAAATGGGCAAATTTGTTTTGACCCGGAAAGGGTGGCCTAGCATTATCTTTTGATATCAATACCACTACAGTGGACGAATAAGCCTTTAAAATTCCGCAACATAGCATGGATCCCAATAATATGTCGAAATGTAAGGGCTCAATCAAAGTGCAGGCCCGGGCGCGGCGGCGTGTGCAAGCGCGCAGGTTTTGGCGTCTTCCCGTTCACAGTGCCGAAGCGGCTACGAGCGGGTAGATCCACACGTCGAAATCGCAAACAGACGCTAGACGCTAGGGCTAGACCAAGCAATGTGAAAAGCATCATTTGATTTACACGCACCCGCGCCCGCCACCACTCTGAATAAGGCCTAAGACAACGGCGAGATAGGAGCTACTACACTGTGCGCGTCACTGATGAAGTATCCGCAATTGACGTAAAATTTATGTTATTTGATAAATATATTATTACTTTCTAAATAGGGTAATTGTAAGGGCGCGAAATTTATTTTCAATTATAACATACCTTCGCTATCGGTTGTTTTGGGGTGCATTGAAAGGAGCCTCCCCGCGCGAAGTCCATTCCTTTCCTGTACGTCTGTACGTACGCACCCTGGGCAACACTCGGCAAGTACCTTACCGACACGCCGGCTTAATCCGATTGCCAAATCCTTTCACTGAGATGGCAAGTATTATAGCGTTCTTTTTCTTATCAATACGATAAGAAGAAAGCTTCGGGTATTGGTTTGTTTTTTAGTTCGCATGTTACTACAAAAAAATACTTCTTTCAAATTCCTCAACTAAGCCAGAGACTATATTATTTAAACAACAAATTGCTAGTGTTTAAATACATCCTCGTTTAAAGTTTTTGTACCAATCATTACTGTATCAATCGCATACCTAACTTATAACAACGTATTTAAATAAAGATCCGGAAGTATGAACACGGAAGACAGTCTGATTGTACTAGGTTCGCCAACAAAAAGAGAGCTTTAAACAAAAAAGAACATTTATACTGTCTATGGTAATTTCTAAAATAATATTTCAGCGCGCATTTTAAGAATAGTTGGGAAAGTTTTATTTTTATAATTTATAATTCATGAAAAAACGCCCAGGTGAATCATAATGGTCGCATCGCAAACTACACACATCTTTAAGGGTCTTATTCTAGAACTCTACTCAATGCTCAAGTCAGGATTGCTATGGAAACACAAGCACTGGAAATACGACTATTAGAGTCGTATTTCCGGCAGGGACTTGAGTATGATTTCGAGTGCTTTAAACCATACTCAAATCCTGACTTGAGCATTGAATAGAGTTCTAGAATACGACTCTCAGTCTTCTAAAACTATTGCAGTTAGGTTGGAATGCGGTACATCATCCACCACATTCGCCCGTTATAGCCCCTTCAGATTTTCATTTGTTTCGGTCGTTATAAAAGACCATCAAATGACACTTGGAAGATGTATTGGAAGTAAAGAGACTATTTTTAGGAAATGAAACTATTTTTCCGGATTTAAATCGCGTATATTTGTTTTTTCAAACAAACCGATGTTTCGGGCTCTTTACAGGTCCCATGGTCACGGTTGACAGAGGTGGTACAGTCTCCAACCAGTTATGTCTAATATTGATGCAAAGCACCCTATTTTTTCACTATAGTTACAATAGTTATATGTACAAATTTATTAGTTAGTAATTTGCCATTGTGAAAGTAGTGATGTCGGTTCCGTTGTAAAAGTTGAATACGTGTTAATCTTCTTTTTATGATACCAAATAACGGGACGAACGAATCGGGCGGTGGTAAGTTACACACCTGTCCATAACAGTTGCAGTGCCGCTCAGGGCTTTAAATCGCTAAGATCTGAGGGGCTTTGCCACTGCGCCCGTCACCCCAAGACATACGTTAAAAAGACCCAGGTGCGTATAATTTCTCCAACACCCTAACATACCCTCCAAAATCGAAACGCAGTAATGCTCACATTACCGCTTGTACTTGTATGTACGTGTATAACTAAAATCAAATTTCACTAAAAGTTAGTCATTAACAATGTTAAACATTAAATTTAAAAAAAAAAGGTAATTTAAAACGTAATTAGCAATTACGTCGTTGCTAACTTACCGTATGTAACTAGTGAACGGTCACACTCTATTAGTTCTTTTTAAAGCCCGCACAAACAAACTGACTAATGCAGACTTTAAATACTTAAACTTTAAAATATTAAGTCATACGATTAGTCACAAAACTAAACTCCTACTTTACGGTTGATAAAATAGAGTACAATAGATTTTTTAAAGCAACTTTAATCTTTAACAAAATAAAGGTAAATTATTCACCATTTTTTTTAACCTACTATGACCCAGCATACTGCAATTGGAAAAGCGGTGAACGTCTGATATACATTAAAATGTATAAATATAATTACATGCTTTAGGTCCAAGCAAGTATACAGTCAGGTTTGTGTGAAAAACATACTTTTTTAGATAACCTATATACAATATATATCGCTAAATGTTATTATAACGTGCACTGGGCGTCTACGTGGTCATAGAAGTTAATAATTGTCTGGGTCTGAATCAGTGTTGGGCGTTAATCAATTAAATTTCAATCAATAATTCAATCAGATTAAAAAATTTGCGACAACAAAAATTGCGACGTGTCGCAATTGATTTAATTGCGATTGATTTTAATTGCAATTGATTTTAATTGCAATTGATTTCAATTGAATTGATTTTACTTGCAATTAAATTTGCAATTAAAATCAATTCCGGTCGGTTGGGGGCCCCCAACCGGGGCCCCCAAGCGGGGTTCCCAACCGGGGCCCCCAACTGGGGCCCTAACCGGGGGCCCCAACCGGGGCCTCCAACCGGGCCCCCCAACCGGGGCCCCCAAACGGGCCTCCAACCGGGGCCCCCAACAGGGCCACCAACCGGCCCCCCAACCGGGCCCCAACCGGCCCCCTAACCGGGCCCCCAACCGGGGATCCCAACCGGGGCCCCCAACCGGGACTAACTGACCCCCATATGCCCTGTAAATTTATCATAATTGTCAGTTTTAATTGTTAATTGTTAATCAAAAACATTGAAAAGATTGAAAATTGATTAATTGTTAATTGTAGATATTTGCGATTAACGATTGATCAATTGTTAGTTGCGAGAACCGCAATTAACAATTGATTAATTGTTAATTGCGGTTCTCGCAACTAACAATTGATCAATCGTTAATTGCTGTTTCACAATTAACAATTAATCAATTGTCAATCTTTAATTGCCAGAACAATTAAATTTTGCCCAACACTGGTCTGAATCACTTCACACAATACGTAAATTTTAATTTAGACAGGGCCGTCTAGGCTACCACATTTATAAATTCGAAACGGATAATAAAACATTTACCACAAAAAAACATAATATTCTTTTTTTTAACCGACTTCAAAAAAGGAGGATGTTTTCAATTCGTCTGTTTTTTTGTATATATGTTCGCGACAACTCTTTCAATTTGTGAACCGATTCTGATGATTCTTACTTTTGGTCCCATTTAAGTTTGAAGGAAATATTCCACCTCTAAAGGTGGCAAACTAGGGGATGAATCCGGTTTCGCGCTCTTTCCGGTAACCGATTTCAGTAAAATGTATAGCCACGAACTTTTGAGGTCGATTGATTTTTTTAAATAAAAAGTTATAATAAATTAGAAATGGAAATCTACGAATCTCGATTACGAAAACCCTCCAATAATTTATACAGCCATCTTTACTCCTAACGAGAAGAAAACCTTTTTCAGTGACTGCTTACGTCACCAAAGAAATCTACAATTCAAACTTTATTATTCTGCCAACAGTTTTGGCTCCGAGTCAGAGACCTTGTGTATAGATTTATCTACCACAAGATCATTTCAAAAATCTTTTCCAATAGTGTGTTGAGCCGAATATGACAGTAAACAGTAAGGCCGCTTTCAAATTAGACGCTTACAAAAGCGCTGCAGCCTGTGGCGCATCGGTCGCGCCAGTACTAATTTTCGTACAATATCTACGCGCGTCACTTTTGCTGGCAGTCACAATTAGTGAAGTAAAACGTACGTACGATTGCAACGCTTCTATAAGCGTCAATTTGTAGGCGCCCTAAGTCAGGTGAATCACCTGCTAATAGTAACGTTTATAATGGTGGTCATTATTGTTTTAAGGACTATGATTATTGTAAAGCTGACAAGTCTTTTAAGACAATGCGCGGGCACTGACTTTACCACGTTCGATATTCTAGTAGAGGAAATTAATTGTTTAAAATTACGTAACGCGGCAAAGGTCAATCTAATTTGTAAGTTTTTACAATTACCATTAGTGAAATGACTTACTCGTTTAACATTTCATGGTACTCCTCCTTTTTTAGGCGATGCTTCCTAAAGGACTCCTTGAAATTCTTCGATCGCTCACAGAATTCGTTGAATATGTCCTCCAAATTGGCCACCACAGCTGCCCATCCCTGTTTGAAATGCATAATTATATTAACTTGAATATCAAAAAGGTACCTACAAATTATAAGTACTTATAAAACACAAGTTTATAAAGTTTGTTCACTAAGTAATAAACCTATAACTAGTGATAATCGTTTGATTCTAGTTAACATCAAAAGCTAGAACTTATCTCAAAAATTTACAAGAAATTGCCTTTGAAAAACCTTTCCAACTCTTAATTTTCTATCCTAAGGTTATATATAGCAATACCGCCTGTTGTACATTAGCTTACTCTGTGATACTTAAATTACTATTCTGTGTAGTCCTTGTAATTTTTAAAGTGCAATGAAGAATATTTAATACATTCAAGTAACCGAATTTATTAGAAATTATTATCTCCTCTTCATATATTCAGACGTCCAAAAAACTTACCTGATGTTGCAAATGTTGTTCATGAACAAATTGTTCGCAAGTCCTGGACACCTCATGCGCAAGGTCACTGAACTGCTGCGCCAGCGCAGCGCAAGTTATCACCGTGTGTACAGTCGTCGGCGACAACGAACAACATTTATCTACAGCTGCCTTCAATTCGACTACGGATTTTCCATCGAATACTCGTGTATCACTTCTGAACTCGCCTGTACTTAATTCCACTATTGGACTTAGATCCACTGTAAAAAAGTTTACTCTTCACTTCCAAGAAAGTCGTGTATTTTAGACTACTTTATTGTAAGTGACATAGAGTTGAATTTTGTATCTTCAATATAAGACCTGTAGTTGTACGTTGACTTAATTAGGCAATTTTTTGTGTTTTTTTTATTGATGAGCAATCTTTTGACCACAAGTGTGAGTAACCGTATGACAAATGACGAAGTAGTCCATGATGACTTTGAGAAAAATAATAGAAATTATTAAAATAAAGCGATATTGAATGGAAGTAAAGTTAGAGACAGAAAGGTTAATAAATAACCTACTTATACGATCTAGTAACAAGAAACTAAATTTTCGCAATAAATTCTGTTAAAGTAAAAATCTACTACATTTTTTTAATGTCGAGGCAACAATAGGTGTATGGTACAAATACTTACTGGACTGCTTCAAATGGCTCTCCTTAACAGATGGTTTGCTGAACATATAGATAGGATTGGTGTCTGTGCCAGCACTGTATGAGGAGACCATGTGGTCTGATAGTAGGACCTCCCCGCCGCTTACTAGGAGCACCAGAGAGGCCGCTGGAATCTTTGTCTTTCTCTCTATCGCGGATTTTAAGCTTGCAACACTGAAAGAGTACATGAATTATAATTCCACTGTATAAATTTATTATTAGTACGGTAGAATAGATTTAATTCTTAACATCTTATTTGTGTAAATAACCACTTATTTTGAATTTGTTCTAAGCCTTTGACTTTTTTGTTGTTGTTATAGTTACAATGTTTTCGACACTTTGTATCCAGGTCATGCAATAAATTAAAAAACATAATTGTAACAAAAGGCGGTGACATCTGATATCCTTTATGCATGGATGAAACCTTACTCAAAATTGCCTTGTTGCACTGAACCATTCTGGTACAATTGTAATAATATCAAATAAAATACAGCTACTTGTGTTGTATTCACACAAATTTGCCATGTTGTACATTTAGTCACAGGCTATGTTTACGAATTGCAACTTTTATAAACTGCTCAAAATTTAAATGTTATGGAAATAAAGTAAGTTACAATTTTGACAAAGACGTTTACACATTGTATAATTAGTCTTTAGCCTCTCCACTGTAACGTCCGCATGGATTGCGCGTATGCGCCGAAGAATGCTTCCAGTTCTTAGGTTTTCGCGATTGTTACACATAGGAAATGAAAGTATTTTTCCGGATTTAAATCGCGTATATTTGTTTTTCAAACAAACCTAAATATATATAATTTAAAAAAGTTTAAAAAAACAAATATAAGCAATTCAAATACGGAACCTCTACCACACGAGTTACTTCGCTCCAACGCTCTGCACATTACTCTGAAACCAGCCTTAGTTTTCGTTGAGGCTGTGAATAGCGGTGATGTCATGCTGTGATTTCACCAAATCTGCCTCATTAGAAAACAAAGATCTACAACCAACTCGAGCGGACATAAAAACGTTAAGAAGGCCTGCTGATGGACGAGATCCGAATACGCATCGACTAGGCGTACAGCAACGCCAGGGAAAAAATTCTTGGACGTTACAGTACGAAGAGAGATGCGTAATAGCTTGTGAATATTGCAAGACTTACAACAAGCCGGTGAGAAAAAGACAGCTCTTAAAATACCCGAAAATAACATAATAGAAGATCACATCTGCAGATGAGTTGGCAGCCTGAGCTAAAATACCGGTATGAAAAATTTATTCGAAAGCCTGCCTAATGGTTTGACCATACAAGGGGCGGTAGCGGGAGCTTTACGAGGACTCTAAAATTGAACTTCGACACACGCTACTCTGACAATATGTTACATCGACATGATTTTACTCAGGCATTACGCTATTCCGACAATATATTACTTCGACATTACTTTACTCAGACACTACGCTACTCCGACAACATGTTGCAACGATATGATTTTACTCAGACACTACACTACTTCGACAACACAGACGAGATATTTCTTAAAAAAATCTTTATGCTCAGATAAGAAAAATCATCATTACAAACCCATGTAGGAAATGGTTTCTTATTATATAGATTCAGTATAACAAAAAAAAAACAAAATCATATAATCGAAAAATTCTTTTCATAAAAAGGATAATATTTTTTTATTGAGGGTCTAAAACAAGCCAATATCATCACAGTTTTGTAGAATGACGTAGGGGAAGTAAAGTGAATCATTTAATTCATACATAGTAAAAAGTACCTGGTTTTTTCATTTTCTTCGAGTGACAAAAGTGCTCATGTGTGGACCATTTTTATTACGAAAATGTTAAATTCCAAGACCACGCTCGATTTTATTTCTATACTTTTCGCATAGACGGTGGCGCTATATTATTTTCTCGCGGTGGTGCGTTTGTGTAAGTAAAAATTATTTTAGTGGCGCAACGTAGCACTCAAATCGTTCGAAAGACGCTCATGATTACCAAAGACTGCTAATCGTGGCGTTTTGTTGCGTTTGTTTGTAGACATCTATCTGTATCTGGTTGGAAAAAAAAACCGCGAAAATTTCAGAATTTTGGTTTGTGACTTTGTAGAATTTAAACTCTTAAAATATTTTTATTTTTGTTTATCGCAATCTTGGTAAAAAGTTAAGTTTTCACCCCAAGATTAAAAGCCAATATAAACCCTCGTCGTCGGTGTTTTGCAGAAAGGGCAAAAGCGCCATTTAAAAAAAAAGTATGGGGAGCACGTTTTAAGTTTTAACGATTGTTTTAAAATATTTATTTCCTGTTTAAAAATTTAATTTTGGATTTAATTAAGTTTAAGTTTTAAAATTGAATTTAAAAAAAGACGTAAGTATTTTAAAAAAGTCGTGAAAAACTAAAACCATTCTCCCCGAAAATTTATTCAAAATGGCGCTTTAGCCCTTTCTACTTACACTTTATATAACCAATAAAAGATTTTTTCGGTTATATATTTTGTTTTTTTTATTATATTGTTCGATATATAAAAAGAAACCATTTCCTACATGGGTTTGTAATGATGATTTTTCTTATCTGAGTACAAAGATTTTTTTAAAAAACATCTCGTCTGTGTTGTCGAAGTAGCGTAGTGTCTGAGTAAAATTATGTCAATGTAACATGTTGTCGGAGTAGCGTAGTGTCTGAGTAAAGTAATGTCGAAGTCATACATTGTCGGAATAGCGTAATGTCTGAATAAAATCATGTCGATGCAACATGTTGTCGGA